TGTTTGCATGTGTGTGTATGTGTATGTGTGCGCTTGTATGTGTGCGCTTGTATGTGTGCGCTTGTGTGTGTGTGTGTGTGTGTATATGTTGGTGTGTATGTGTGTGTGTGTGTGTGTGTGTGTGTGTGTGTGTCTGTGTGTGTGTGTGTTTGTGTATGTGCGTGCTGTAATCTTCAGCACTTATTTGACGTATTTGTGTAGCAAGTGCTGTAAAGTTCTTAAATGTGGTGTTTTGGCGGATGCTCTAATGCGTTTTGCTCCTTCTTTTCTATCAAACGTCCATTGTGCTTTTCTCTCTTCCTTTTTTCTTGTATGCTACTCTCTTTTAATACCTCTAATCTTTGGCATTTATATGATCTTATTGTGTAGCAAGTGCTGTAATTCTCTTAATAAATGCTCTGATCTGTTATGCTCCTTCTTTCCTATCAAACTTGTATAGTCTCTAGCTATCTTTCCTTCTTCTTTTTTGTGTTTGTTACTCTCTTGTAACACCTCTAATCTTCGGCACTTATATGACCTGACTGTGTTGCAAGTGCTGTAAAACTCTTACTTAAACTAAAACTAACGCTTGTAATCTTTGGCACTTACATGACCATATTGTGTTGCAAGTGCCATAAAACTCTTACTAAAACAAAACAAACTCTTACTCAAACTGAACTGCCTGTCCCCAGACCATGGGCTGCTTTGTGCTGATCCTAACCAGCAAGGGCCACGTGGTCTACGTCTCTGACCAGGTTGAGAAGCTTCTGGGACATGATCAGGTCAGTACCGGGGAGAAAAATCTGAATTCACATATGTGAGGCGTGCTGACAAAATGAGTTACTTCTCACTATCCACAAATGGAGATATTAGCCAAAAATCGACATTAGGGTCAAATTTGTAGATTTTCTATTGATGTCATATTATATAACCTGTCTTTTATTGTTCCATGCTCATAAATTGTAAACATTTCACCTATAAGCATGATGTATTTATTTCCTTAAGGCTTGAATCGGAGAAGTAACGCATTTTGTCAGCACGCTTCACATATTATGTGTCAAGACACGGTGGAATCAGGCGCTCATCAATTTTTGGGCATGTGAAGTTATTGGTGTCATCATAAAGTTTGTTTGTGTGTCTTTGTTTTCGGTGAAAATAAATTTCATCTACATGTATCTTGAATAGAAGTTGAGATATTTGTGATTGAAGGAGGAAGGGGTTGTCAGGTTTCAGAAGTAAAATTAGTGAGACAATGGCCGCCAAAGTTTGGTGACTTCCATAGCTTGGAAGTCCTTGGAAACTAAAAAATTTAAACTTCTGTGCCTTTAATTGATGTTTTTCAATAAAAGCTGCTCATTAAAGTGTTTTTGATTAGACATGAAAAGTGTTTAACCGAAAATCAAAACTTTTGATAAAAATTGCCAGACTGGCGGAAAAATGCAGGTATCTTCAATTTCATTACTTTGACGAGCGCCTGATTTCACCACAATGCCTCACATATGTTGTTTCTCTTTGTCTGTCTGACTTTTCCCCAGCTCTGTATGACCGTTGTTTTGTCAGTGTGCTGCTCTTTACTCAAACTCACCCACTGCTGTGGTCTTTTCCAGATGAAATGGTCGCTTTTAAGCACAAGGGGGCTATCCATAAAAATGCTTTTTTTGAGAAAATCGAAGGTAAAGTTTTTTCCCCTTGTTCAATTTCTTTGAAAGACAAGGAGAGTTTTCTCTAAAACCAAACAAATGTACACACCAATGAAATCAAACTTCTCCTATAGGTAGGGCAATGCCCACTTTTGGTGTAGGTCAAGATTTCTGGAAACCCCCGAAATCTGGGTTAGCCCGCCTGTCCTTAACAGCGACCAAATGTGAGGTGTTTCATGATGACTCACTCACCTTATGCTGGGGGTTGCTAGACAGCAGCATGGATAGGTCCTTCTTCTTTTCTTTCCCTCTTTATTTCTTTTTTTTCTTTCTCACTTCCCCCCGGAACTAAATAGAAGTATTCATGTTGAGGTGCTTTTTATTACTCAAACAAACAAACAAACAAACAAGCAAACAAACACACAAACAAACAAACGAAACTAATCTTATCCTAGAATGCAACTATAATAATCAATATTCAAAACTGAAGCCACTCTAGTCAACTTTAATTTTAAGAGTACCTTAAGAAACGGTATGTGGCTGCCTGTAAGGCAAAGGAAGATTCTACATCAGCGTAGATAAAACAGTCAGGAATAGTTAAAAAATCAACAGCTCTGGGAGTTGAAGATCTTACACTCAGTTACTCGCAGAGCTCTAACCATGGTACATGAAAAAAACAACAACAAACGAACGAACCGACAAACAACCCCCCCCCAAAAAAAAAACACCAAAACAACAACAACAACAACAACAACAAAACAAACAACAACAACAAAAAACAAAGACAAAATTAACACAAAAAAACAAACAGACAACCTTGGACACGGAATGAGAATGGGGCCACAACAGGCAGCCTCAAATATCCGCATCAGGAACTTCAATGGCTTCCCCCCCAAAAAAAAAAAATAAGAAAAAAAGAACGAAATGATAATTCCCTAAAAACCCCCTCAACACAAAAACTGTAACTAATAAATCCTAACTTACTTACTTCTGTCTCCAGCTGAGCCTGGTGGGTCGTCCCGTGCACGCCATGGTTCACCGTGAGGAGCTGGACGTCCTGGGCACACAGTTCTCACTGGCTGCCGAGCCTGGTAAGTCATCTGTGTAGTCAGAACAAAAACAAAGTTTTATGTTACTTTGTACATTGTATTGTATTGTAAAGCGCTCACAGCCTGTGTGCTTGAATCGAGGTTGAGCGCTGTATAATTATTATTATTATCATCTGGTATGTGTTTCAGTAGTCCTTCTTTTTCTCTTGTGAGAGGTTCCAGGGTGCCAGTAGATATTTTACATAAACTTTCACACACACACACACACACACACACACACA